TAGTTCAAACAAACCGCTCAGCCATCGCGACCACCAGGGCTGCCACCACCAGGGGGCCGTCGAGGCTGCCCGAAGAACCCTCCGAAGGTCCCAGGCCGCCGGGGAGGCTGAAAACCATCGTCGGGGGGGGGCGCCTGTAGGGGCCGCCGCAGCCACCAAGAAGGCCACCGAGTCCACGCGGGCCTCCAGATCGTCGGGGAGGCCCTCCAGGTCGTCCAGGACATCTCCGAATCCGGAGGGGCCGAGGGGGGCAGCCAGAAAAGCCCCCACGATCAAAGCGGGCGCCCAGGGGAAGCCACCCAGGCCGCCATCCCCGAGGAAGCCGCCCAGGCCGCCACGAGGAAAAGTCATCCGGGCCGCCCAGGAGCCATCCGTGCCATCTCCCATGAGGAGGAGCCATACGAGCCGCCCAGGCCGCTGCCTCCCCCACGAGCACCTCCGCAGCCAGACGATCCGGGCCGAGCGATTTGGGCCGAGCTGTCCGCCCCAAAGGCCACCGGAAAAGCCTCCTACAAGCCACCAACGGGACCGCCGAGGACGGAAGGCCGGGGAAGCCGAAGAGGCCGAAAAACGGTAACCAGTCGGCTCCACGTCCCCCGCGCCCCCATGCGTCCCGTATCTAGTCCTGGGGGGCTTACCGGGAGGGGGGGAGTCTCCGGACCTTTCAAGGAGCTTTCCAAGCTCCCCCTTTAGCCATTTCGGGCTCCGCGTTTTCGGAGCTATTCACCGAAGACCGCCATCTCTCACGCATGCGCAATATGAGATCTAAAAGGTTCTCCATCACTGTTCTAAGGTCAAAGATGCATCTCTTTCTAACTCTCACTTTAACAAACAGAGTCAATTCCATTTGAAATGATAGTTAATAACTTGAGGGTTCCAATGATAAACAAACAAAAGCTTGTTGTTCCATTTTCCTTCAGGAAAATTTCTTTGCAAAAGTAAGAAGTATCCAAATCAGGAACTTTTGTAACAGAATGAAAAACCCTGAGAAGGACAGATTGAAAATCACACTATTGGCTAGAGTTTAAAAGACCTTGTTTATTTAATTTGTTTAGTTATGTTTGTCACTAGCTGCTTGCCGTGTAATTCTGGGCTGTTTACACCCAGTTAAAAGCAACCAAAGATCACCCAAACAAAACACATCCTGCCTGGTATATCTGCACAAGTAACACCCTAAAAAGAGACTCTTCTAACTTCATGGCACTGTGCTAAAGAGAAAAACCATTGCTTTCCATATGGAAGATAGGATTAAAGCCATCTGAATGTTAGGAGCATGCTATTCCACAGGGTTGGCACAATGACAAAAGAACACGTACCTCCTATTAGGCAAAAATAACTGGAGTCTACATTCAACTCAGCCTTGTGCCCTGAAAGGCTTTGCACATGACAACCAGCATCTTAAATTGCACACAAAAGCACTAGTGGGAGCTAATGTAGCTTGCAAAGTAGTAGTATTATGTCAAGGTACTGAACTGTATCCCTGTATTCACGACTAGCTTCAGCTTTTGAGTTATTTTCAAGGGAAGCCCCTTGTACAGCTTGTTGCACTATTTCTCTAAATGGGAGTCACCACAGATTCTTTAAAACAGGTATCATATTTTCAGTACAAAACATACTTTTTGATGAATGGTACTTGTTATCTGACATTTTTCTGTTAAATGAAACTTATGGACCAATTATCTGAAGTAGCCTCCCATTGCAGTAAATTTATTCAAGATGACCTTCTCACTACTTGAAAGTCATTTAATTGTGTGTTGCTTTATTATGCATTTAAAGAAACTGATTCAAGTGACCTATTGTTTATTCCTGGGATGAAGATGATGATGCCAATGATGATGATGATGATGATGATGATGATGATGATGATGATGATCAGGATCATTACCAAATTCATTGGCAGGCCAAGTATCCTTTTGCTGCCACAAAGATGATATTATCAATACATTCTCATTTTATTTATTTATTTATTTATTATTTGAATTTATATCCCGCCCTTCTCCTTGCGGACTCAGGGCGCTGTAGCTTTAAAAGCAACAATAATCATGACCAGTCCTACAACAGACTTATTATATACTCTACAGCACGGGTGTCAAACTTGCGATGTCACGTGATGTGTCACAACGTATCGCGACTTTTTCCCCATTGCCGGCAATAGTATGGGCACGGATTTGGCATGACGCATCCGGCCTGTGGGCCGGCAGTTTGACACCCCTGCTCTACAGTATTCAAGGGTATTCTGATCCTATTACCCCCTTCAGCTTACAAATGCAAGGCACTGAAACAAAATGCATGAGCTAAATGATGACAATTAAGATTTATTTTTATGAACTGTTTTCAGTTCTTTGAAATATAGCCACATCATTCAGAAATAAACTCAAAGTACCTTCAGCATAATTCGTGAATTTAAAAAATAATTTAACAATTATAATGAATGCAAGCAAATGTTATTCCATGCATAAATGGAACAGCCTCTTCTATATCAGTTGAATATGAATACAGGTAGTCCTCGACTTACAACAGTTTATTTAATGACAGTTCAAAGTTACAACGGCACTGAAAAAAAGTGAGTTATAACTGTATTTCACACTTGCGACCGTTGTCACATCCTGAGGTCAGTGATCAAAATTCAAACACTTGGCAATTGATTCATATTAATGACAGTTGCCGTATCCCAGGGTCATATGATCACCTTTTGCAACCATCTGACAAGCAAAGTCAATGGGGAAGCCAGATTCAATTAACAATCATGTCACTAATTTAACAACTGCAGTGATTCACTTAACAAGTATGGCAAGAAAGGTTGTAAAATGGGGCAAAATTCACTTAACAAATGTCTCGCTTACCAAGAGAAATTTTGGGATCAATTGTGATCATAAGTCAAGGACTACCTGTACAGATAACCAATTTAATTCCCACAAGTTAATAAGTCACCCCTGAGCCCTTATTATTTCACATACCTCTTCTGCACATATGTTCATCCTGCAAAAGCTGAACTATAGCAGTCTGAGTGGCTGGAACAATTACAATACTTCCATCTTCACGACCACAAACCAGTCGCCCATGTGCTGGGATGTAGACACTTGCTGTCACCTTCAAAGGCTCATCACTATTTGGGATGAAACTCAACTGATCTATAATACCAGCTGGGTGAAGTTTGTTAAATGCTTCTTGTAGAGAAGTAGTAGTAGTAAGCGGCAATCCTGATTTTTAAAACAAAATACATTTGAAATCTATATAAATAAAAATGTAAATGTTCGTTTGTTCAAAATCTTAAATCTCCGAAAGTTCTTCACCGATTGCTTTGAAATTTTGACACAACGCTGCATTCGAATACGCGCATGTTTTTATATACGGTACCTATATTATATAGATGTCACACCTGTGAAAGGTAAAAACATGCTTTTTTTGAAAAACAGCACCATCTGTTTTTACCAGACTGAGCCACAGCAACGCGTGGCCGGGTACACCTAGTATTAAATAAATGAAAGACTCAGAAAAAGCAATGCCATAGATAATTTTCACTAAATCAAAATCTTAAAAAATTAAGCTTGTGCATGGCCTTGCATAGCGGTTTCGAATTTGCTTTTGTGAATCATAAATGAAGCAGTAAGGAAGGAATTTGCTAGTGAGAAAAAAACTGGCTCTAGTTACTAGGAACAGGGTAATAAACAATGGTGAAGAATTCTGATGGATTGGGCAGAAGATTAGGAAGGATAAGATAAATATATTTGCTAATTCCTCTAATTAATGTAGCTAATGCTTCCCTCAAGTGGAGCCTGACTCTTGATGGCAGCAACAGAGAAGTGGCTTATCTCTGGAGATATAGTTTCATCCTAACAGTCTAGCTTATAGTTGGGTATTTTCTGATCTTAATAGAAGAGAATATTTGTAATTTTGAGTTGAATTGTGGAGTTCTTGGTGCCCTCTGAAATTGGTTGTTTGGTTGCAGATATTTTCATTATCCAACTAAGTTATAGCATCAGTATGAGGGTTACTTAGTACAGTGTTCACCAACTGTTCCGGCTTTGTGGACCAGTGGGGGGAGGGGGAGAAGGGAGAGTTCCATGCAAGCAGCCAGAAAGTGTGCGCCTGTGCAGCTCCATTTGCATCAGTGTCATGCACACATGCCTACCACTCACTCAAATGGAGTGTGCATGGACACGTTTGCCTGCTGCTTGCACAAGTGGGGATGTACATGCGCAAGCGCTCGCCTGCTGGTTTTGCAGCTTGGTTGCAAATAGCTCACGGCCCATTCGTGGGCCACAACCCAGAGATGGGGGACCCCTGACCTAGTTGAATAAGGAAACATCTGCAAGCAAACAACCAAGCTCAGAAAGCACCAAGAACTACCCATCTCCCGATTCCTTGTCTAAATAGAAACCAAAGCTGACCCTTCTTCAAGGTTACAGTACTAGGTGTTGCTACCTGCTGTAACAACAATTACCTTCAGTCATATCTGGCTTGTCAAGTGAATCTGGAATACTCCAAATGGTGAGCCTCCCTGAAGAGTCCCCCTGGATTAGTAGTTTATGGAAACACTCCCTACGGCCATAGAAGAACCGGGTGACAGGAGGGCAGATTAATAACTGTAAAGCAAACAAGGCATTGAAACAATATTTTAGACAAGTTAACAGGTAGAGCAAAATCTTGCTCATCTGGATCCGAATTCTAACATGCCTATGTCATGCTATGATGCCTATGTGAGATCTTAATTTCAATACTATTAGCTGAATTGACAATGTCAGGAAACACAGTCTTATAAAAGTAATATCTAACAATGTGGACAATATACAATTGTATATTGTATGCAAGATATAAGACAGATGTTATTCAATATCAGCAATTATTAACTCTTTTAAACAATCAATATACAATATAATTTCAAGATAGTGTACAGAAAAGGCATATTAAAGAAATACAAAGCAAACATAACATTGTTTATTTGATTTTTCAGTCTACTCCAGATCTGGAATCTTTGGGGCAAATAAAAAGCTATAAAAACAGCAATACCCTGTAATAGAGCTTAAAAGAACATGTAATAAACTGCACCTGAAAAAACATGAAAATAAAATTTATATAAAAACATATATGTTATTAAAATGACTATTAAAACATCTGGAAAAATAGAAAATGGGATACCAAAGGACATCTGTAAAATTGCTGGATATACCTCTTGTAGAAAACACTCTATATTAGGTGAAAAAATGAAATCAGTATTAAAATGTAAGTAAGTAGCAACATATTCATAATCTCAAAAGTACTTCAGTTTTTAACTTCTAAACTAATAAAGTTTCTAAATACTAAAGCAAGTCAAATCTTACCTGTTTCTCTGCTTTCTGCTCTCCTTGGTCTAGAGCACAGTAGAGTTGAGGAGGACTGAGGTTTTCAATAACTTTTCCAACATCAGTGCGAAATGATTTGCTAGCTGGTAAGCAACTGGGAACCAAAAAGTTTATATTGAATGGTTGATATAACAATTAAGAAACGTATCTTAAATTGCAGCTTCAGCCTTCATGTGACAACAGTGAATTAGATAGTTTAGAGCAGTATTTCTTAATTTCAGCAACTTTAAGAATTCCTAGTTAAGTCCACACATTTTAAAGTGCACGACTGAGAAACACTGAGTTAAAAAAAAAGGGGGGGGGGGTTATATTTAATATTTTAAATATAAATGTGAAAATAATGTGGAAATCCACATGAAAGGTAGCAGAAGAAAAATAGTTCTAAAACAGTGGTTCTCAACCTTTTTAATGCCGCGACCCCAACCGGTCGTAAGTCGAGGACTAAACCGGTCGTAAGTCGAGGACTAAACCGGTCATAAGTCGAGGACTAAACCGGTTGTAAGTCGAGGACTACCCAACTGGTCGTAAATTGAGGACTTTCCCTGCCCGGGAGCGCCGCGCATGTGTGGTTCCGCCCCCTGCGCCAGCCGAGGCATAGCTGGCAAGCGGCAGAGACGGAGCAGGCCGACCACCAGCTGGCCCAGCCCAAGGGAGGTAAGGCACCCGCCGGAAAAGGGGAAAAAAATGGCGGACAAAAAAAATGACGGACAAAAAAAATGGCGGACAGCCTTGCTTGGCGACCCCCGTGAAATGGTCGATCGACCCCAAATGGGGTCCCGACCCACAGGTTGAGAACCACTGTTCTAAAATGTGGGATCTATCTGTACAATACTATCTAACAGCAATCCTCTACATAAGGTAAAAGCCATTATCCAAACTTAAGAATAGTTCAGGAGCTGGCTTGCCTAATTAAGTTGATGAAATTAGCAAAGAGGTAGAAATAATAAATTTCTGTAGATCTAAATTTAACTACTCACAGAGAAATTTAAAAAGCTAATCACCTACATATCGACAATATGAACTTTATCCTTCATTCAGCTTCACAAACTGCATAATAAAGCCAGCTCAAACATATTTATTTATCTCTGTCACAGTCCCTCTCTCTCCTTTTCTTGCACATAAAGAGAAATTCTATCCTGCACATAAAAAGAAATAGAGCTGATCCCAGTTTCCTATGATGCCCAAGTTCAGAGTACTGGGATATATTCTTATTTTTTTGTTCTTTCAATCAAACACATCCAGAGAGCCCTGGTGACACTGTGGTTAGAATGCAGTACTGCAGGCTAATTCTGCCCACTGCCAGAAGTTCGATTCTCACTGGCTCAAGGTTGACTCAGCCTTCCATCTTTCCGAGGTCGGTAAAATGAGGACTCAGATTGTTGAGGACAATATGCTGACTTTATAAAAACTGCTTAGAGAGGGCTATAAAGCACCATGAAGCAGTATATAAGTCTAAGTGCTACTGCTATTCTCAGAGACAGCCTGGCCTAGTCTCTGCAGTTTTCTTGACAAGGTTTTCAGGAGTGGTTTGCCATTGCCTCCTTTCTAGGGCTGAGTGAAATAAGGTTACCCAGCTGGTTTGCTAAATCATGATTTCTAGCCATACCATGAAACTTGTTCTCTGTTCTAATAACAGATCAGTAAAAAAAAAAAAGGTATGGTCTGATAAACTAATTTGTTAGTATCACTATCCCTCATTCTATGTGAACAAACATAGAATGAGGGAGGAGGGAGGTATTAGTACGGTCAGTGGGAGAGGCAGATACGGCGGGAGCAGAGGACCATATCAGGTTAGGGGAGCACGCACACGCTATTTACAAGCTTGTGGGTGCTCCGGTCCTCAGGCCCCTACTCGGTCTCCAGGTGATTTAGATCCCCCGGCCCGGGACTGCCGGCTGTTGTTATGTAATGCCAGGTC